GTGTGTGTGTGTGTGTGTGTGTGTGTGTGTGTGTGTGTGTGTGTGTAGTGGTGTTGGCTGTTAAGGCCAGGTATAGTGGCACATGCCTGTAATCCCAGCACTTGGATAGGGCAGTTAGAGGTTCAAGGTCAGCCCCCACTACTTGAGACTTGTCTCAAAAGGACAAGAAGCTGGAAACGATGGCACAGGCAGGAGGACCACAAAAATCAAGGCCTGCCTGGATTACAGACTGAGTTCAAGTCTACCCTGGGAAGCTTAGTGAGACTGTGTTGAAGTAAAATGTAAAACAGATGTGATAGCTGTGACTCGGAGGCAGAACTGACATGCACAAGGCCTGAGCTCCATCATTTGCAGCACACTCGTACACACACAACACTGCGTGTACACACAGAGACAAACCACACATCACACACACACACATACACACACAAACACAAACCACACTCTACATACACATGCACTTCATTCACGCGCGCGTGCAACATGCACACAGAGGAACCAAGCACATCTCCAGACGCCAAGACAGGGAGATTGCCCAGCCAATTGCAAAAACACAGCGACACCTTACTAAAACGAAACAGAAAGGGAGCGACTTCCTGAGTATCGTTTGATTAACCGAGTGAAAACGTTAGGACAGCACTTTAAACTGGCTCACTTATCACCAGAATTCCAGCCAGTTTCAGCATGAACTGAGGGAACACAGTCCTTGGACATTGCCTCTGATTTGCTTCATGTGTAACGGAGACTGTCGCCTGACGTTAGGAACGAATGGAGGGGGACAGCTGCTAGGGGGCTTTGGGATAATTCAGTCTGGGCTGGGAGTGCAGAGAAAACATCAGGTCTGAAGTCACTTTGCTTTTTTATCTTCTGCTTCAAATCTCCATGCCAGCTATGACTCCTTCCCACCTAGGGGGCTTGATAAACCCCGCAGAAGCCTGAGCATGCCTGGAGGAAGCACCAAACTCAGGGCAAACTTGCAGTGCCTGTTTTTCTTTATGCTTATTTAACTTCTCTATATCCTACCCAATTCCTTGTCTTCATTGACCCCCATTTGAAGCCTGTGATCCATGTGCTATTCCAAAGCCCATGGTGTTCCTGAGGCCACCTGTGACAGAACCGGAGCTGGGTGGGACACTCTTTTGAGCCCACAGGTTTGCTTCTTAGCAGAAAGGACATGTAGTTGTTACTTGCTGGGCCACCCTGCCGTTTATGTCATCTTTTTTTTCATTGTTTCCACATTGCTTCTACAGACTCATCCTGCACGGGCAGCACAGAGGAGTCTGAAGTGCTCAGGAGACAGCGTTCCCTCTACATAGACCTCGGAGCCCTGGCTGGCTACTTCAATATTGTTCGGGGGCCACCAACCCTGGAATATGGCTGATGGACGGCTTTGTTGGCACAAGTTAGGATGGACATTTCTCTCCTGGATTCTGGTTTTGCAGCTTCTACAGAACAACTCTGGATAGTGAGGGGTTTTGTTGTTGTTGTGTGTTTTGTTTGTTTGTTTGTTTGTTTGAGCAGTGAGGCCTCTAGTGGCATAGAAATGTCACTTCAATGGCCCCTTTGTGAAGCTACTCTGGTATGTCCCAGAGCACAAGGTTCTCATTTCTCAGGTGGTGGGACTAGACAGAAGGGAGTGAGAGCTCAGGGAAGGATCATTTCTGGTGACAATTCCATTTACTGTGCACTTTGCTGGACATTTAAAAATATCCCTCACAAGATAGTGACCTAAAATTTATACTGTTGGTTGTTATTTAAGCATGGGGTCTTCATTCAACCTAGAAGGCCTGTTCTTTGTGTGTGTGTGTATATATATATATTGGTATATTTTATGTGATAACTCTTTGAGCCTTGGTAGACTGTAGTAAAAGTTTAAGTCATCATGTTTTGGGTTAATAGAACAACTTTAGTATTACAGGAATACACTGCACTAGTGTATTGGCTGATATAGTCAGAGCCACCCGACAGCAGACCACTAGTGACAGTTTCTGTTATGTTCCTATGGAAACACTGTGTACTGTACGTGCTATGCCTAAAACATTTAAAACACAATGTTTTAAATGTGTAAACCACATAATTTCTGTACATCCCAAAGGATGAGAAATGTGACCTTCAAGAAAATGGAAACTTTGTAAATTCTTGGTGATGCTACATTTGCAATTAATGAGACTATTTTTCTTTAAAGTGTTTCTATATTAAAATAGCATACTATGTATGTTTTATTCCAAATAACTTCATGGATCTTTCATATATATATATATATATGTACATATATTTTAACATTGTAAAGTGTGAGTATTCTTATTTAAAGTATATTTTTACATTATGCAAATGAACCCCAAAATTTTAGTCCAGTGTGACTGGTATAATTAATCAAATAAACTGAGTATTTTGTCTTAGTTTTCGTAGAGCGTGTGCCTCTCCGCTGGGTCACAAGGTTGGGAAAGATGTTGGAGGGAATGGTGCATTTCAGGCACTGGAAACTTTGCCACTGGCTGGCTCCTCTGCTTCCCCCAGGGAAGCCTTCATGAATTGGTGAATTGGTAAGAGCTGCACCCTTAGTTGGGTACGCTGACCAGGAAACAACTGTGAGCCACTGATTTGGGGCAAGTGGGATTCCACTCCTTCTCTTGTCTTGTGCTTATATAGTTATAAACACAATTATAAATACACAGTTATAAATATAGCCACCTTGAATGCAGGCTCACAAGCTCTTCACTCCGGGATGGCAATGCTAATAATGAACTTGCTTTTATATAAGGCTCATCACACTCACCAAATTCTAGTGAAGACAGTCGGATGGGAAGGCACATGAGACCTCGTGCAACCTCTCCACGTGTGTTGGCTACTGTGCACCGTGTCTCTATATGTTAGTCAGCATTCTGGCACTGATAGCGGCTTTCAGGAAGGAAGACTTTACCGGCCTTTGGTTCAAGGTTTCAGAAGTGTCTCTCTGGCTGCTTGACTGTTGCTTTTGGGCCTATGATGAGGCGCTGAAGCTGCTTATGTCATGGCTCCCGGGAGAGAGACGGAGGGAGAGAAGACAGAAACTGGAGACCAACCGTCTCTTAAAGAATACTAGCTAGTAACCTGGACGTGGTGGCACACACCTTTAATCCCAGCACTATGGAGGCAGACGCAGATGGATCTATGCAAGTTCAAGGCCAGCCTGGCCTAAAATGTGTGTTCCAGGACAGCCAGGGCTCTATTCCACAAAGAAGTCCGTCACATACAAACAAACAGCAAAGAGAAAGAGAGAATTCTGACTTTATTCCCCTAGGTTGCTCCTTTCCATTAGTGCCAAGGATTTATAATCCCACGACACACACACACACACACACACGTGACATGCATTCTTCTTAGGAAACCTGGAACATTTTGAGTTTTTTGTTTTTTTTTCCTCAAGAGCCCAAAGCAATTGAGGGGTGGGGCTGCTCTTTGAGACTAGACCTTTCTGACTCCAGAACTCAGGCCCTTCTTGGCTCTGCTGCTCAGGGAGTGGTCCATCTCCCTGCAGGGGAGGCATGACACACACTGTGTGATATAGTGCCCTAGCTAAGGGTAGCCGTGAGGGTACCTCGAAGCTGATGGAACTTCAGCCCCAGAACTCCCCACGTGCCTGACCCAGGATGACGACTGAAAAGACTCGGATCTGCCCTTGATTTGGAGGTTCCTATTAAGGTCCTCTGAATCAGGAGGTCTCCCGGGATCTCCTGGCATTGTTCTCTGCCTGAAAAACCCAGTAACTCGATCTTCCGATCTTCCGTTGCTGCATTTCTGTGCTCAAGGCAGAAAGCCTTTGTTTGTTGGAGGGCCTGAGGAAATACTAGGTCTGAACTGCTTCATGCCAGGTTCCACCGGCATAATGTGCCGAGTTAGAAGGCAGGTCTGTTAGTGGAGAACTGAAGTCTGACAGGGAGCAGAGGTCCTATGAGCAAAGAACTGAGCTGGTCCTGCAGGGCACACACGGAACAAAAGATACTGGCACTATGAGCTGTCTAGGAAGCAAGGAAGTTGAAAGAACATGAAGCAGCAAGGAAGCAGATTCATTCCATTTTGGAATTGTTAGAGGAGTCTCTGTTGCAATTTATGCCATCTGTCAAAAAAGATATTTCTAGTCAAGCGTTTCATTGACATTTTAACTTTTGCCTAAGAGCCAATTTTTACTATTTATTTTGGTATGAGGAAAGGAATCCAGGGTCTCACATGTGCTAAACGATTGCTCAACACTGAGCCACATTCTAGAAAACTACTTTTAAGACCCAGTTTCATTTGTGATGCCTAAGAACATGACCGTTAGCACTATAACATGATCAGACACCTACATCAACCTCCCGTAGCTTGCTCTGGGCCAGAGAGGAACAGCGCACCCATCTGACAAGCATTTGCCTGCTTGTGTGTCAACACAGCGGGGCTTGCACCTGCCATAGGGGAGGGGAGGCTGGGTAGATCAGAAAGAGACAGAAGCATGGTGCTCCTTCTCTATTGGGGCACATCCCTTTGCCCACGAGCAACAGCTGCCTCTTCAACAGCTGGCTCCTGAGACACAGCTTTCTAATTCCTAGGTAGGAAATAAGCTGAGGGCAACTCATAGCTATTTCCTGAAAGAAGACGGCAGGGCCTTCATTTGTTTTCCATGCTAGGATCGGCTCTCGTGACTTGACCAAATTAGAGGCATCTGTTCCACTACATATTGGAGACCCAGAGGTGGGCACAGCAGGAGGTCTGGTTACTCAGAAGGCAGTAACGGACTTCAGAAGAAGGCTGTCGCTCTGAACATATAAATTGATATTCAGTTGGCTGTGAGCAATGAGATCTCTCACTAGAACTCTTCATGGAGATGTCCTGGGTTGATTCTGATTGGATCATACTGTGAAATAACCTTAAGATTATGAGAGTAGAAAACCGGTATCTTTAATTGTTAGCTAGTATCATCTTTAAGTCACTAATTCTAACCATTCAATGAAACTTCATCTTCCCACATAAATGTAAAATTGCTTCTTGGTGTGTGTGTGTGTGTGTGTGTGTGTGTGTGTGTGTGTGTGTGTGTGTGTATGGACAGTGAGTGTTGGTACACACGCGTATGTGTTTTTATGTTCATGGACATGCCAAAGGTAGACAATAGGTGTCTCCCGAGTCACACTGCACCTTATTCTTTGAGACAGGGTCTCTCAGGGATCTGGTGTTCACTTGGCTGGCCAGTGAGATTCAGGAGTCGGCACTGGGTTTGCCAACATGCGCCATGGCATCTGGCTTCCTATGTGAGTGCTGGTAATCTGAACCTAGGGCCTCATGCTTACCCAGAAAGATCTTCATTGGCTGAGCTCTCTCCTCAATCCCACGAATCTAAAATTTAAAGAGCATCTGATTTGAACACGCCTTTGTAGTGGTCCGTGTATATATTCAAACACTCTTGACACCTTTTTTTGGCCTAAATAACATATGTCTGAGACATCAAGGGAGATGAAAAGAAAGAATATTTTCAGCACAGAGAAGGTTAATGGGCAGCACTGAAGCCTTGGAGCTGGAAGTGGAGGATGCTTGTGGCTCAGTCTGTTTCCTTAAGACAACAGAGGAGGCCTTCATATAACAACAGGAGGGTCTTCCGAAGAGTTTAGTTTGGAAGGAAAAGGAAACAGCACACACACATACAAACATGAACTTGCATGCGGGGTGCACATAGGTTCATGAACATTCACACGGCCGCGCCTCTCTCTGACCAGGTGTTTCTGCTGGGAAATTCTGGTCTCGCCTCAGTTTTTATCTCACTAGAACAGAATCTGAAGAGTAAGGTAGATATGCTAAAGGCATGTTCTTTCAACTTCTCTGTCTGGGCCTATCTGTGAGTTTTTGACTGGGACAGCCAGAAGGAAGGAGAATAAAATGAAAATTCGTTCTGATTTTCTTACCCAAGAAAATTTTCTGAAACCCAAGAAGTAGGTTTATTAGGGCTGGCCAGCGAGCAGGAGAGAGCAGAATGTTTGAGACTTGTCTATATAGCTTCTCCCCTCTACCATGCCCCTAAAATCATCCCCTCTATAACCCCCAGAAGTAAACTACAGGTTATTCTACACATACACAAGTTGGTGATTCCACAACAGCTAACCTGCACATGGTAACATAACTTATATACATTTATGTTTGGTTTTTTTTTTTTTTATGGAACAACTTCCAGGTCTTACAGAAAGAAGTATTTCAGTGAGAGCAGTCCTTTGTAGGCAAAGGCATCATTCCTTCCACATACTGGAAGGCTTAATCTGACTCTCCTTGTGCATCTGCTATTTTTTCTGAAAACCGAGGGGGAAGGTTGCATCTGACCACTGACTCTATTGTTTTAGGGAATAAAATGGAATGGCAAACAACTTATCAATCTTCCCCAGTTCCATACTTAGTTGTTCAGGGAGCAGGGTGGTCACAAGAACCATTTAACTATAACCTCAAAATTTTACTAGCAGAACACATGATTGTTTTCTGCTTTCTGCTTCTTTCCTAATGTCCTTCACCTGGGAAATCCCAGGGCAGAAGCAGGACATCGAATTATACTAATGTTGACTTCAGGCTCTCTGGCTAGACTGACCAAGGTTCTCTTGTAACGACAGCAAAGGACTAGACCTGTAGCCACTTGATGTCACCAGAAGTGATTCAGAATTGGCTAGAGGGTGGAAGTAGGGAACAGAGGCCAATATAATATCCAAATAATATTATAGAAGTGATAGTGTTTGGGGATAGAAAACTAAGTCATCGATGTGGAAAGGGGTGCTAACCCATTTCTGCCCAACGGTCTCAGAAGCTGTATGTGACCCTCCATGGTCATACTCTATGTACCAACTCAGCAGCACTCGAGGATGGTGTTTTAGTCAGGGTTACTTCTGCTATGATGAAACACCATGACTAAAGGAACTTGGGTAGGGGGGAGTTACTCTTCCACATCACTGTTCATCACTGAAGGAAGTTAGGACAGAAACTCAAACAGGGCAGGAAACTAGAGACAAGAGCTGATGCAGAGGCCATGGAGGAGTGTTGCTCACAGGCTTGCTCAGCCTACTTTACTATAGAGCCCAGGACCACCAACCCAGGGATAGTACCACCCACAATGAGTCGGACTCTTTCCCATCCATCACTAGTTAAGACTGTATCCTACAGGCTTGCCTGCAGCCTGATCTTACGGAGGCATTTTTCTGTTGAGGTCTCCTCCTCTCTGATGACTCCAGCCTGTGTCAAGCAGACATAAAACTAGCCAGCACATATCTTTTAGTGTCAGCCATACTGGAGTGTTCTAGTTCTGCTTAGGAGAAAAAGAATCTTAGAACACTATGAATTTGGCAACCT